GTCAGTGCAGCATCCCAGCAAGGCTTTAATGGAAAACATAAAACACTAGAAACAGACAAAAATCAGATTATTACTCTTATTTTTCAGCCTTTTGTGCAATAAGCCATGAGGGAATTCCAGGAGCGAAGCTGATGGCAAAAAAATTAGATTTCTTTCTCTTAATTGCTCAACGGTGATGTCAGAATGGCCATGACAAATGTCCCCATCTCTCATTTCTACATCAGATAAACCAGCAACCCAGCCCTGCTCAGCCAACTTCCCCAGGACAAACTCTCAAAGAACCCATTTCTGATGCATTCCCACATGGTCTCCTGCTGCAGTGCAGCTTTTGAGGCACCTTTAGCAAAACCTGAGCCACCCCTATGAGGAGCAACAGACTCACGTGGGACCTTCACCAAGCTGAGCTCACAGACAGTCCCATCAGGCAACAGAAAAACGAGTTCAGGGGCTTTGTCTTTTCAAATGTCCCTTTAAAAGGCAAGAGGTTTGGGACAAATTAAAATAAACGTCTTTGCAGGTGTCCAGTTTGTTTTAAATAACTTGCAAGAACAGTCACATCAAGGATGGAGAAAGAAAAGTACTGCAAGCAGCCAAGAGCCACTCCCAGAGGCACACTTCTGGCATGGCAGAGAGGCTGAATTTAACAACAAATCAATCCACTATAAACAGGAAAAAAACCCCACAACAAACCAAAACCAAACAACACCCCGCCCCCCCAAACACAGACACCTCAGTATTCAAACAAAACAGGCAGAAAAATGCTTAACAGTTCTCATGAAAAACCCATCTGGCAATTCAAACCACCTTGTTTAAAAAAAAAAACAAACCAAACAACAACAAACAAAAGTGTATGAATGAAATGTAAAAGTGTAAACATGAAAAACAGACCTAAAAAACCTGAGAGAAGGTCTGTGGGCCTCTTGCATCCTCACAGATAATATATTAAAGAGAATTTCCCCTCCATGTAATAAGATTACTGATATTTACTGCACTACTCCAATATTTATAAGGCATAATACACTGCAGATGACTCCCTTCCCCAAACAGGCTTTGGAATTAGGCAGCCTGCTCCATTTCATGTTTTCAGGGGCCCTTTATATAAAAGGGATATGAAATTTCTCTCTCTTTCCCACCTAAGTCATCAAAGCAGCCTGAGAGGCACCTTCTCCAGCCAATGAGGCCAACCATGGTGAGGAAGAAGCCCTGTGGGGTGGCAGCTAAAACAATGGCCAGAAAAAAAAGAAGGCAAAAGGAAAGATGAGGAAACAGGACATGAAAGGAAAGTACATCTTCCTCCCCCCCTCAACATGTTAGGCTGTATTTTTTTGGGCAGCAAACGCAAATACCAGGGAGAATTAAGAGCCAAAACATCAGACTCAGGCACTTCCACCCTCACCCCCCTCACACTAAAAAGGACAATCCCAGGGAGCCCACACAGCCCCCCCACACTCAGCCAAGCTGCCAGCCACCAAACACACACAGAGCAGACACTTCTGATCCAGGCAAGACCATTATTGCTTTTTCACAACAGCTCTGAGTTTATTCCTCCTCAAAGCTTTATTTTTTTGGGGAAAAAAAACCAAACAAAAACAACCAACCAAACCACCTGATGCATCTTAAAAACCAGACCTGAATCCAATGGAGTCTTCCCTCCAGAGACTGGTGAAGGTCACTAACGATTAATTTCAAATCCATGGACAGTGAAAACTTAGTGAAGTCCTAACAGTGGGAACTAACACAAAAACAGCAAACTACCTGAGGGCAGCACATCCAAGCAGGCCCCAGATCTTCCCTCAGCCATGCAGAACTTGATGTTCTCATGTAATTGCCCTTGTACCTGCCTGTTCGAAACCAGCAGCCTCCCAATTTCATCTCTGCTTTGTACATTTAATTTAAAGCAAAACATGAGCAGCCACAGGGATCTTCACCTCACAGAGATCTAGTTACGAGGTGTTCCAGCATCCTTTCAACTGAACAAATGTATATTCAGCCCAGGTAACAACTGAAGCCATCCAGCAATCACCTGGACACCAGCAGGGAAAGATGTATGATGAAGGGAAGGAAGAGATAAGCTTGTTTGCCAATAATCCCAATTAGCATTGTGAGACCACTCACTTCTCCTTAATTAGCACACTATAAAGAGCCCAGGGCCTTCTGAAGAGTCCCAGTTTCTCATGGCCTGTGCCAGTGCCTAAAGTGATCTACCAGGGTTTGGAGGGCCATGGCCACTTGGCAATGAGGTGTGAGGAGAGAATGGGGACATCTTCATAGCTTCCCTGCCTGGGCTTCTCTGCTTCAAAACCTCACTTTCTTTTGATTGAGAAATGATTTATTAACGAATTATCTCCAACAGTTCTAGCCTATGATCAGGGGAAGGAAGCAAGAGATATAGATCCATGCATATTTAAGTGGGAAATCACATCCCCCGCTCAGGAATCATTTTGCTAAATTAGCTTTCTTCTAGGCCCCTCCTAAAAAGGGATCTTCATTCTCCTACTCAGCAGTGCAGTCCTTCTCTGCTCACCCCAGCTGAGACCTTTTTTTTGCCTCTGTACACAGCAGCCCAGAACTGTCCACAGCATCCAGGAGCAGACCTCACAGCAGAGCCTTATATAACCCTCTGGAACTTGCACAGCTACACCACAAATACCTTGCCTTACATAGCTGGATGTTTTTATCATATACTAGCTGATTAAAGCATGATTAAAACCCTTCAACTCTTCAGTCACTAATGAGCATCCACTTTATAGCAGTTTGGGGTTTTTTATTAGTCCTCAAATAAATGACTTTTCTCACAAACTGCTCTGAGTTGATTTTCTGTTCCAGTTCTCAAGGTCATTCAGCTGATCCTGTAAGATACTTTAATACTCTGGAGTACAGAAGCCTTCCCTCTCTAGTGCTGTGGCTCATGGGAGAGCAAACCCAGCAATTCCCTCTGGGAGAAGGAGCTGCCCCAGCAGAGGTCAAGCTGCAATGGCAGCAAATACAGGCAAAACCAAATAATAGAATCCCAGAATGGTTTGGGTTAGAAGAGACCTTAAAGATCATCCAGTTCCAACCCCTCTGCATGGGCAAGGGCATCTCCCACTAGCCCAGGCTGCTCCAAGCCCCATCCAACCTGCCCTTCAACACTGCCAGGGATGGGGCAGCCACAGCTTCCCTGGGCAACCTGGGCCAGGGTCTCACCACCCTCATACTAAAGAATTTCCTCCTCATGTCCAACCTAAATCTCCCTTCTTCCAGTCTTAATCCATCCCCCCTTGTCCTCTCACTTCAAACCCTTGGAAACACTTCCCAGTGCACAGGAATTACAAACAGCCCCAAGGAACATTTTTCATTACCCCTTGTTAGCAGTCCCTGCAAGCTGGGAAGGAGGAAGCAGAACTAAAGGACTGGTTAGTAGAGTGGGAAGCTAGATTACCACCACTAACCTACCACCTGCCAATCCAGAGCCATGCTGAAGGCTGTAATTTTATAGTAAGTGCTTTATGAGCAAGGTCAGAGGGAACAAATACTTCAATGAAAGATTCAAGACATCACCAGAAGAGCACAGTCATGATCCCCAGAACCCCAAAAAAGAGGCAGGGGTTGCTTGTGCAACTCGTGGACCCAGAATAACCTCCTTGATGCCCATCAGTGGAAATGGTATTTCCTGTTCTTAAAACACAAAGAGCTCAGGCAATGAACAGGTAATTATGGGAAATAAAGGGCACCAACTGAGTACATGAGGAAACAGTGCTCTGTGGAGCCAAATAAATAAATAAATAAATGTCAGTTTTGCTACCAGAGACCCATGCTGCAGCACTGCCTGGATGCTTGGAGCTGTGCAGCAAATGCCAAGCTGTGAGCTGCAGCCAGGGAACACATAATTAATGTGATTAGGAGCACACAGAGCTAGCATGCTCTGCTGACTGAAAAGCCCAGTAGCATAATTACTGTTTTCTGTACCAGCTCTATGTCTGAACAAATCTCAAAGCCTGGTTAGTTTTAGACTGCTGTGTAAACGTCAATAAAAATCCCAGAAGTGCCAGCTCATCAGCATTCCCAGGCACAGAAATGGGGAAAATATCACTGCATTTCCATCCTGTTAACATCAGGCAAAGAAGTCTCCATTCTTCAGTCTAACCTTAGAGTTTGTAATAAGGTAACATCTCCCCCAAGTGAATGCTTATTATGAAAGCTAATTAATTGCTTTCCAGTAATGAGAAGTCTTTGGTGTTCAAAGAAAGCAAAATCCACTACACAGAAATTAAACAGTGTTTATTGAAACAAAGCTTCCCCCATTTAAAGACCTGCTTCTGATTAACAACATTACAAATAAAACCAAAGAAACTGAACACACAAACATACAAAATATGTATAGGCAGGAAATGTGAGCTAAAGTAAGTAAAAAATCCATAGTATTAATTGAAGAGAAAACTAAAGCAATGCTTTGTAGTTGCCTAGATTTCCCTGGGGGATGAAGAGTCAATGCTTATCTGCCTTCCTCAGAAGAGACAATTTTGATTAATATCAGACCCATCTGACTCAGTCTATTAAACCCTGAAGGAAGGATATTCTTCAGATATAAGAGATATGCCTTTGATTAATAATTCTACCATATTGCCATTCCAAGCATTAAGAACTGTGTGGCACCTGTGGAAAAAGAAAGCCTTTGAATTCTAGGGAAAGGAACTAACTCACCCTAATAGACCTGTTCTCCTTGGTCCACATCTGAGAGCTGTGTGGTGAAAGCTCTAACTCCTACTCTCTGCTCAACAAGTCCAAATGTCAAGGTTGTTACTACTTTCTTGCAAAGAGGAAGCACAAGGGTGATACAATTCAGCTTTACCTATAGTAAGAAAGCAAATTCACTTCAGATACTTGTCTAAAGACCCTGGTAATCCATCTGGAGAATCCTCTTCAGAGCTGTCACAGCTGACTAGAGCCCAGCAGCCTACACCATTGCAGCACTCTTACCTAGGAGGGGTGCATCTTCAGAGAAATGCAGGACATCACTGAGCCCACTAGGCTGGGCTACCATGCAGAGTGTAACTAATGCCAAATTGTCACACATGAGTGGGACAAAAGTCAGGATTACATCATTTGTTGAGTTGCCCCTGGCAGCTGGGGCTTCAGCCTGGCAGCACTGGCCTCCTCACAGCAGCTGTGCATTCCTCCTGATGCTGGAGATCAGCCTCTTGCTGTACTCTCTGTAGTTCACAGGTTTGACATCCAGTGCTGTGGCCTTAATACGAGACTCATCCTGTGAAGGAACAACATGGAAGAACCCTCAGAACTCCTGACGTTTGGTTCCAACCTCCTTCTGCCTCAGCACCTTCCTGCTCTTGGTGGCAGGTTTAGCTGGGAGAGTCAACTTGCCTCCCAGAGCAGCTCTGCTGGTTTTAGGTGACACAAGCCAGGCCTGATGAACCTGAGAGGGAGCAGCATTAATGACAGTGGAACCCTCCTTCAGTTCTCAAGGCTGACAGTGTTTGTGTGAGCAAGTACCTCTGGCAGCTTCTCATAAATCCAGGAGGAGAAAGCCACCTCCTATGGAGATAAGTCAAACTACAGGAGCAACATGCTACATTATTTGCTGTTTGCAGGTACTTACGTTGTAAGTCTCCAGCTTTACTCGGATCCTGAACTCGTAGGTGTTGAAGTTTGCATTCTGGAAGACTTCCTCAAAGGCCTGCTCGTTCTGTGAGGAGGACAAAGACATCAGCTGCAGACACCCCAGGCTTCCAGCAGTACCATCAACTTTGGGAACAGATCATCTTTTGCTGATGTTGGCAAAATGGTGGATCTAACTGGATGGTGCAGGCAAAGCTGAAGCTTCCAAAACAATTCAGATGCCAAAACCGTAACTTAAAAGGTTTTTAAGATAAAGTTTAGTTCAAGGTTGAAACTTTTTAGCTACTTAATCCAAACAATGTAGAGTTGCACTGAGTCTGCAAGCAAGTGTAGAGAATGAAAATACTATAAATCCACATGAGATTCTCTCATGCTGCTTAACTGGCTAATTCTGATGTGCTGCTATGATCACAAACGCTGACAGAGTTAATTATTTCCCTATTAATTGTCTTAGTAGGCATCCTGTTCTCTGCTTATCCATCAAGGCTGCACGTATCCTTCAGACCCTGACACAGACCTATTTAAGAGGATGCTATATAAAAAAGTGGATGCATATTTTGAACATGCTTTTATAACCATTAGAAGACTGTCATATTTATAACATAAGCTGCTTCTAATTGCCATATGAACATTAAACATCATCATCATTTTTAACAGACAATTTGTCAAAACAGTAGAAAAGAAGCAGACAAGTTGTGGAGATTGTGGGGAGAAAAAGTTTATTTTTGCAAAAATTGGCTGTAAAAACCTTTGCTGACATTCCATAAAAATCCTGCAGCCTCATGATGATACAGACAAGTAATTATTAATGCGTTTATCTACCAGATGCACTTGACTTGATCAGTCACTCCAGCAGCAGACAGAGCATCTGATCTGGAATTGAACCCACCTCAGCTCCACTCATTTTCCAAGTGTTACATCTGCTGTTTTTCAATGTGTGCAGCACTATTTTACACTACACAGTCATTCTCCTAAGGTTTAGAAAAGCACAACACAATGAAGGTGAACAGGAGTAGCTGGTTTTACAAGCCGAAAAATGTCGAGATAGCCCCCCTGAATATTTAAACCTCCTTCTTCTGACCATCGTATGGATCAGAGGATAAGAAAACTCACTTAATAAAGCATTTTGTTTCTGTTGCCAGCTCTGCCACAAACTCAGCTAACCATTAGTGAGTGGAAGATGCTGTTAGCATACCAGACACTGCCTCCCTACATTACTGCCTTTGATAACAAGCACAGTGGAGAAGTAGATATAAAACCACGCATGCATATCTATGCTGCGAGTGGTCACTGGCTGTACATGGACCCAACAGACAGAGTGAGCAGTGGGAAGACTCCTCCCAGCTTCAGACACTGCAGCAGGTCTTCAGAGGGAAAAAAAACCCAACACTAAGAAAAGCTTACTGAAAGCGCATCAAGTCCCATTTTTAAAGGCTCATAAAAGTGTCAAATCAAAAACAATTTCTCCTGGCACACAAAGCATTCCCACTCAAGGGCTCATTCCATATTATGTTCCATTTTCTATCCTCAGCCATTTCCATTAGGCAGCTCTTCAAAAGACATTACATGTTTGTTCTGTTACACAGGATCCACTCTCTCCTTCCCTACCCAGTCCTCTGCAGCATTTAAAGTGACTGAGAAACTTTGTTTGAACTCTAGCAGAGACTAAGCACCCTCAGAGTAAGAAAACATTGACAAGTTAAGAAGATCTGAAAATGGAAAGGTAAAAATGCAAGCACATCTAATTAGAATGCCCTAGCAATGCATCTGCCCACAGAACACGTGTCCAACCTTCATTGTACCACAAAACCTTTTAGCAGCCCAGAAGCAGATGCTTTGTACTACTCATCCTAGAGAGCCAAAATGCAGGAAATCCCCCCCCAAATCATTCTTGTATGCAAATTACAGGAAAACTAGCTCTGCTTTCCAGAAGTGGATGAGGTCTACAACAGAGTCTCAGTACAACCAGGACTACAGCCTCAGCAATCCCTCCTGCTTCGGTGCCCTCCCACAACCAAGCAATGAGTTAACCAACAATGGTGTGTACCTGTGGAGTTCTAGTATCAGCCAGCCTCAGCCTGGGAACACAGCAGTGCTCATGTGCAAGAGCTTAGCACACCTTCCATACCATAATGAAAAAAAACCCCCACAAAACCCAAACCAAAGTCACATAAATTTTATGTAGTAGATAACTAAAAAATATTCTTGTGGTTGGAAACAGGGAAAAAGCAACAGAAAAGTAGACAAAGGGAGGAAAATACTGCCAGTGTTGAATGGCTGACAACCTTAAAACTGTTTTAATCTGTCAAAGAAAGATCACTTAAGCATCTCTGTCAATGACCCATTTTACAAGTCATGGTTTTTGTATGACCCACAAAGTTTCTGGTGGTATCTGGTGGGAAGAAGAGCCTTCAGAAGTAGGCTAACACAGGAGTTCAAAAAGCTTCCTGCCTACTTACACAGATACATACAAAGTGTTCTGGAACTTTTTGGTTTGGTAAACAATATTTTGGAACACATTAGGGATAATGTTGTTAGCATTCATGGCTGAAAGAGAGCTTTTTGCAGACTCTTCTAATCTAGGTACAGCACCAGAACAGCCTGTCCTTTCTACTGGAGTCAACATGTGTTAAAACTGTCAGGCCCCTACAGGCTGTGGTTCTGTTGTCATTTTTTGGGCTGCCTCTCCAGGTCCAGGTGACAAGGACAGGCTGAATCTCCAGCTTTTAACAGCCAAAAGAGCTCAGAGGTAGACAGACTGACTGTGGGAGCAAACTATGGGGGAAACCAGCTCTCCAGGCAGATGGCCCGTGGAAAATAATCCTGAGGAGAGTAAACAAGTCCCTGCCAAGAACTTCAGACTAGGGAGAAGGAAGAATTTGTGAACTTTGTGAAAGATATTGAAGTCCAACATCTGGAGAACAATCTTGGGCTGCTGGGCCCCTGAGGTGGCTTATCACCCAGAGAATGGGCAAGATCAAATTCTAGCCAAAATAAATAAATATCCCTTTCTTTCATATGACACTTTTGGATTTGTTTTTATAATGCTGTTAATTTCCATAGCAACCACATTAACATAACACACTGCCTCTGCCACCTCTGCTGACTTAGGAGGGCTCCACAGGGAGGAGATGATGCTCTCTGATGGGTCAGCACTGGTGTTCCACACATACCTTTCATCTTCCCCCAAGTCGCCTTCAAAGTCAACATTACAAGAATATTTCCTTACCAGGAAGATAAAAAAAAAAAAAAAGAGCAAGAAACTTGAGGACAGCCCAACAACAAGATGTGTGAAACACAGTTCACTTACAGGCATTTTCTAAGAATATAGCAAGTGAATTGACTGACCTTTTCCTTCAGTTCTCCCAGAAAAGCTGCATTTTGTCCAAGAATGAACTCTGCAGATTCTTGGAAACATGTCACCCACTGATACTCTAGACAGTCTGCAATGGTCACCTAAAATCAACAAAAAACAAATGGTTTATTTGTCCAGTTGCCTGTTCCTCAAGGAAGACAAAAGACAAATCAAAAATTTATTTCACAGCTACAGAGTTTTAAATTTCCAATAATTATCAGAACCCTGTGTGCTGTAGGCACTTCCCATCACTGAGGGTGGAAAGCAATAACTTGCTACCTTTTCTTTTTAAGCTCCATAGATGTCACAGTAACTTCTGGCAAGTTAATATTGACGGTACATTGTGTCACAGGAAAAGGCCAACAGGACCACAGTGGGACACACTGATGGATATTCAGCTCAGTTCTGCTGTCACTGAGGAGCTGTGAGCAAGAACAGGTAGTCCAGAACAACAGCCACGAGGGGGACATGAGTGAGGCTGTAAACTGCATTTTTTTTGTACATACCTGAGTACCTGAGCATAAACCCATGTAATTCTGTTATAAGGAAACTACCTAAACATTCAAGGACATGACTGAGCAGCAAAAAGATCAAGTACCAGCTTCACATGCATTTCCTGGCTGCTTTAACATTTAGGAGTAGGAAAATAGGAGAAAGTGTTCTGAAAGCCATGATGTACCCTCAGAATGCCCTTCTATGTTCTACAATAATGACTCTGCTGTGTAAAATAGTTCCTGCATTCCTAGAAGTTATCTGCTAGAAATTATTCAGCAGCAGTTTGTGTTTTAGTGACACTGCAGGGTTAGTTCCCTTCTCTCTGCATGCCCACCTGGCACAGCATTTCTAAGAAGCAGATACAGCTCTAACTTAAAATGTAAAACAGGGAAAGGTTCAATGTTCATGGTGGAAAGTGGCCATCACAATAATAACCCTCAGACAACTTTCTGAAGCAGGCTCCATTAAAGCATGAGACAGAACAATACCTACTCCAAAAAACGTACTAAATATAGGTAGCAGCTGTAAAAGTGCAATTACTGCTCTCCAGAAATGCCTTTTTCCTTCAGTTTATCTTCCCTACTGAAGAGGCGTAGGCCATCTGTACTCTGCACTGCATAGTACACTTGGAAACCAGAACCAACTGAGCTAGCATCAACTTTTTGGCAAGGAGAGGAGCTTTTAATTGGAGCACTAGGAAAACAAACTGCTAATCAGCTCAATGAAACATCCCTCACCCAGGTAGAGCACACAAGCAAATTGAACCATCCTCTAACCCGCAGACAGCACAGTGACACCCCATTTCTATTTGGGTTGCACAAGGGTGAGACACACTCTCTCCTCTAGTGACACCAAGCTGGGTGGTGTGGTCAATATGCCAGAGGGACAGGATGCCATCCAGAGGGACCTGCACAACCTGGAGAAGTGGGCCCAGATGAATCTCATGAGGTTCAACAAGGCCAAGTGCAAGGTCCTGTACCAGGGCTGGGACAACCACATATGAACAAAGGCTGGGGAAGACATGCTAGGGAGCAGGTCTGTGGAGAAAGACCTGGGGGTACCAGTGGATGAAAAGCTGGACATGAGCCACTAATGTGCAAGTGCAGCCCAGAAGCCCAAATACATCCTGGGCTGCATCCAAAGCAGCGTGGCCAGCAAACAGAGAGAAGTGATTCTGCCCCTCTGCCCTGGTGAGACCTCACCTGGAGCTCTGCATCCAGCTCTGTAGCCCACAACGGAAGAAGGATGTGGACTTGTTGGAGCATGTCCAGAGGAGGGCAACAAAAATGATCCAAGGGCTGGAGCACCTCTCTAATGAAGACAGGCTGAAGGAAGTTCAGCCTGAAGACTCCAGGGGGATCTTATAGAGACCTTTCAATACCTGAAAGGTGCCTATAAGGGGCTGGGGAAGGGCTGCTCACCAGGGCATGTAACAGTAGGACAAGGGGTGATGGTTTCAATCTAGAGAAGGGTAGATTTACGTTGGACATTAGGAAAGAAATGTTTAATATGAGGGTGGTGGATCAGTGGAAAAGGCTGCCTAGAGAAGTGTTGGGGGCCCCATCCCTGGAAACATTCAAGGTCAGGCTTGTTGGAGCTCTCAGCAATCTGGTCTAGTGCAAGCTGTTTCTGCTGACAGCAGGTAGGCTGGACAAGATGACCTTTAGATATGCCTTCCCAGGGAAGCTGGACAAAATGACCTTTAGAGGTGCTTTCCCACCCAGGACACCCCCTGGCTCCAGCCCACAGGCTCACCAGCAGCATCATGCGGTACTTGAAGTTGGGGAACTCCCGGTCGCACTTCTCGCAACGATAGAGCCCGTTCTGCTGGTCGATGACTTTCTTGTTGCACTCCTGGGAGGGACAGGCCTGGTACATGCAGTTCTCCTTGCGCAGATGTACCACTGTGCCCACACAACTGAAATAATCTGCCTGGGAGAGTGAGTGAGCAACATTAGCCTCAAAATACCCAATGTTTTCCAATTCTGAATTAACTACAAAGCAAGGCACCCGTGCTTGGATATTTAGGATTAGAAAGCTCAACAGCTATGGATTATTGGGAAAGTGTAAAATAGCCTCTCTGTTGAAATAATTTTCAGGCTTCCATTATGTTAAATAAAGCCCCTACAGCAAGATTATTGTGTGTTGGCATTGCAAGAAGCTCCAGTTGCTGGGTTTTCTTTAGATAAAATATATTTGCTTCTCCATTGTGTCTGTACCAATCTCCACTTTTTTCACAGGATTAAGGTTCTGCACTTTCCTGTGCTTCTTTTGAGATCCAATTAAAAATCAGAAAGTCTACTGTGTAGCATTACAGATAAGCATTTGATTAAACTATAGCCTACAGAGTCAAATACCCACTCAACCACACTCAATCACCCTGTTGGTTTAAGACCGTGGTCAAGTCTGTCATCAGACAACCAGAGGTGGTTTAAGAAGCATGTGCAAAAAGTCTCAGAGAAAACACCTGAATTACAAGTAGTTTTTTTCCTTAGATAGAAGCTCTTGCATATTGTGAACAGTTTAGTACTTAAGTTTGCAAAAAATAAATCTTTTAAAACACATCAAGATGCAGTATAAGCCTAGAGATGTTACTGGACTGGAATGCAGACATAGGTTTTATTCTGAGCTCTTCTATTGACCAAGTGTTCACCCTTGAAAACCACTTCCTCCTAATGCATCTGTTTCTCCTGGAACACTTCATGCTATTTATATAAACATCTTGGGGTAAACTTGCCCCCCTCATTTATACAAGGGCTTAGGATTTTCTTGCAAACATCATGTCATGTTGCAACACCAACAACAAGCTTGAATTTATTTGAAAAAAATTATATTTAACAGCATAAATTCTGGCAGAGTAAGAACAACAATTGGGCTCCTTCAACACCTGCATCAATCCTGCCTCTATTTTCTCCCCAATACACAGGGCTGGAACTCGGTGGCCCATGTTTTACCTTATCTCCATGTCCCAAGTTCTCAGATTTGGCTTCATACAAGGTTTTCCAGTTGGTGTTGACCCCAGATACTGACCCACCCCTCACATCAGAGATGGAGGCACATTCCAGAAGCTGCCCCTCAGAGTCAAACCTGGAACCACAAAGAGACAATTCTATTTTTGGCTAGGAGACCAAACAGACTTCTCAAGAGCTTACATTTAGTTTCATGTACTTAATACATGAGGGATTTTTTTTATCAATGATTGCAAAGGAAACAATTACAATAATTTGTGTATATTACAAACAAAAATAGCATTTCAGAAGAAGTTAATAGTCCGACTTAATTAGCACAGTATTTTATAAACCCACAAAGGATGACAGCTTTGTTCTATATAACTGCAATTTGTTTGCCAGCTAGTGGTCAAACCACGCACTGCATGCTTCTTAAAGTCTGTCAGATAACAAGATTTAAGGGCATCAAGATATTTCCATAATTAAAATTAAATTACATGGTACCATTATCTCCGCAGCAGCTTTGAAAGAAAAAGCAAATAGCATTGAACAGATTATGCTTCTTCTGTTAAAACAAGAAAGCACTGACTGCTGTTCAGCAAAAATGCCATCCCATTCTGGTGTGTTTTGTGATTTTGTGACACCATCAAGACTCAAAAACTGAACTTAATTGAAGCGTGACATGAATTGTTAAGACTTACAATCAGTTTCATCTTGAACAGCCTCCTGAAGTAGGGGAGAACCACAGCTCAATGACAAATGGAGAATGCCACTGTATTTTATCCCTGTTTGGGTGATTTAACTAGAACCCAAAAGGCCAGGAATCTGATGCTGTTGGCACTTAAACCTATTTATTTATCTGCCACATCTCACTGTATTAGCTATTATAACAGGCAATTTAGAAACTACTTACAGCAAAAGCAACAAACCACCCAGAAATCACTTTGCTTTCCTGACAACAATGCAATTGTTATTTTGCTATCAGAAAAATATCTGGTAAGGAACAGACACTGGAAGAAGTCAAGACAGTTCCTCTAGTCCATAGTCACCCAGTGCTTAACAGAATCCACAAAAGGGAAAAAAGCTGGTGGGAAGGAAAAAAAAAAAAAAAAAAAGATTGTTCTCTCAGATCTAATACCTCAGAAAGTGGAGCTGGTCAAGTCTGATTTCATGCTGCCTTCCAAAGCTTTGGATCAGCATGCACTACTCCTATTTCAATTTTTCAAGGCCTGTCATGGAATTATAAGTTTTTGAATTGGACAACTTAAAAAGGACAGCCTTTCAGGCTCTAGTGCTTTCAAGAAAGAGAAGTTTCTCTAACACTGGAACCCGTATCCTCTGCTCCCTTTCTTCAGCACTGCACAGGCTGCCCAAGCACACAGAGAGTAAACAAATACTCCACAGCATCAACATAAAACACCCAGTCATACCATCCTCGGAGCTTAAAAGCCTCTGGGCTATCAGGGTTGATCACAACTGTACTGGAGGACAGGACAGACAGGCTTCTACCACCAAAGTCAGAGACTCGGGCTCCTTTGATGGCTATCACAGGTTGTCTGGACCCATCAAACTGTTCAGCCTGTATGTGTGAAAAACAGACAACATCACTAGCATGGAAAGCATTGAACTTGTGTTCATTCACTGTGACAAGAGACCAAACCTGGATCCAACTGTCCTCCTGTATTTAGAAGGTAATGCTTTACATGGTACCACTAGGAGTTGAAGAGAAGGCAGACAACAGTTCAAGCTGTAATCCTAACACCCCATTTCCCAGGGAACCAGAGAATCCTTCAGTCACACCACTTCTTGTCTCTTACTCCACAAGCAGGCAGACAGATTTACCCTGATCTCTGTTGGCAGTGTCAGCCAGAAACTGATCACCAACAGCCTCTAAGAAGCTGGTTAGACCCCAAAATGTTGTGATATTGAGCTCTGGTTTACTTCACTTCTATCAGCAGATGGTTAATGGTGTTTAGCTACCCACAACATCAGTGCACTTGATCATTTAGCCATTAAGCATCACTGTCAAGCTGGCAGGATCACTCCCATTTTATGGACTGGGACATAAATCCCCGAGTATCTACAACACTGCTGGAAAACAAAGCAGCCTGTTAAAAGGATAAAGCAGCAGTTTAGTGCAGCTACTCAAACTTTCAATTCCAAGGCTCTAATGCTTTAAACTCTCAGTCTGAGATACAGGCACTCCCCTAGAGGGAAAGCCACTAGTTAAGCAGTGATTTATGCAGGGTAACATGTATCCCACCCTGCAAATAAAGCTCAAATTGAGCTCAGCTCAAATGAGACAGCAGTAGCCACTGGGCTTTTCCATAATCAAACTGCAACTCATATCCTTTCCTCAACTAGAAGTCTGTTCTCTTCAGTCTTTGGACTGGAGATGTGGCTGCAGTTGTTCAGAACACATTAGTCAGATCATGTCAGCAGTTTGTCAGGGAAAAGGTTAAGAACATCACACCTGAATGAAACCAGACAGTCTCTCACCTCCTCCCTGCCCCTGATCCTTGCACACCCAGGACCCTGTCTCCATGCTCTGCCCATCTCGGATGACATCAGCACACTCATTCCTCTCAGCCTACACAAAGGAGCCTTTGCTTAAGAACAGGTAAGACAGCACATACCTCATTTCCCCACAGTGTAGCTGTCACCAGTTTCCCTGATGTATCCATCAGGTGCACGTTCCTCTTGGATACCTCCCTATTGTTGGATTTCACTGTGATTTTAGTGACATCTTCATAGCTCTTACAAATTCCAATTACATCTGAAAAACAGTTACAATTTACTTAAGAGTTACTCAAGGGTCACAACTGGGGAATACAAGATCACAAGAGAAGAATTCAAATCTAGTGTCAGATTTTTACCTTGTATCCTAGCTCCCTATTCAAATAAAATCTGATATGGCAACTACGTGTATGATGGTAGGAATGCTTCACTACACAACCCTTCAGTGCTTTAATTTTGTTGATGAATTCATTAAGATATTCATGAATGTAAGCCTCACATTAGGGAGATCAAGGCATTGTACTATCTTTTTCCATCACATTCTGTCACAGGACTTGAGCCCTGATCCTGTAACACACACTCTTGCTGTTTAAACACAAGTCTCCCAGACAAGGGGTTTCACAGAACCACTGGAGTTGGAAGGGACCATCTAATCCAACCCTCTGCTAGATGAGGATCCCCTGGAGCACATGCTGGACTTCCCAACAGTTCCCTGTCTCTCTTAAAATGGGGATCCCAGAACTGAATACAGTGTTCCAGATGTGGCCTCAGCAGGGCAAAATAAAGATGACCTCCCTCAACCTACTGGTCACACCTTCTTAATGCATCCCAAGATACAAGGCTACAAAGGCACAACGCTGGCTCACTATTAACTTATTGTCTACCAGGACTCCAAGATCCTTCCCCTCAGAGCTGCTTTCCAGTTGCAAAGTGACTGTTTAAGCACAAGTCTCTCAGACAAGGGGTTTCAAAGTGACTGTAACATGAAGCAGCATCTGGCTGGTGCCTTTACTGTAGCCTCACAACCCTAAGATGCAACTTCAACAAGTCTGCATGTTTGGGTACCCAGAGCTACCACAATCCCCTCTGCACTCCCTAAAAATACACCATTTTTAATATCACAGATCTACCTTTAAAATTCCTAGCTGAATGCCTCTGAATCACAGGCATCTTGTGCCTGTGAAACCTGAGAGCCCTCGCCCCCACCCAAGCCTCTGATTTTTCCGGAGTACTCTGCCCAACAACTGACAGAAAAACAAACCTCCAACACTTCACAAAACGAGCCAAAACAGTCATGCAACTTGGACTTGGATGCAGTGAATTATGCCAAGATCACTACAGAGATAATTAGAGAGTGAAAGAAAGCAAGACCACGGAAGGTATGAAATGCACACGTGCTGAGCAAGGACATTTTTCTTTCAGCCCTTTTCTGTGGAAAACAATGATCAGAGCACAATAAACAAGTATAATTTACTGCCTTTAGTTTGAGGAAAAATAATCATATATTGTTAGCAGAACAGGGCAAAGGCATCTTAACAGGAAAACTGCCTGAGGTGTTTTTAATGGCAACCATCACTGGACAACTTCATTCCAGAGATCACTACACACTGTGCTCACTGCCTCCCCAGTATTCAGGGCACAAAAGTAAAACTTCCAAGCTTTAGGGCTTGCCATTTTGCTACTTAGACTGACCAACAATTGAGTCTTTGGGTGTGTTCTCCAAGTCAGAGATGGATACAAAGTCAAACTGAACAGATGGGAGATGCTGGGCATCATCACAGGGCACAACTGAAGTCTCATTAGTGAATGTAATCTCATAGTCATTCTTAACAGCTGAATATTGCTTGTTAGCAGTCTTCAAATTGCCTTTGGTAAAATAATATACCTACAGGAGAAAGCAATGAAACAGAGGATATTATCAGCAGTCAGACAGAGAAAATAGATGGTGTTCACCTTTAAATATCCTTGCTAGGCTCAAGTTCCTCTTTTCTAGCTCGTGTCAGTCTAGGAAAGCACAATGCTACCATACCTTGTTCAATTCAATGAGTGGAAAGAACTTGTCTGCTTGCTCATTGAATGCAGTAGCTCTAATCTCACCCTGCAGGAGAAAGAGAGCTGGTCAGAGCTGAAATTCACCATGAAAAAAGAAAGAAAAAAGCAATCTTTGCAATGTTAAGTGGCATCAGTTCTACAGACACAGCCTGGTCTGCCAGGCTTAGCTCCAGGCATGCGAGAAACAACCAACCTTCTCCTCACATTTGTAGATACAGCTAAAATGACACATCTTACACCTGACCATCAAATCTCATTAGAATCATAGAACCGTTAAGGTTGGAAGGGACCTTCAAGATCATCAAGTTCCAACCCCCTGCCATGAGCAGGAAACCCACCACTACATCAGGTTGCACAAAACCTTGTCCAACCCGGCCTTAAAAACCTCCAGGGATGGAGCATTAACAACCTCCCTAGGCAACCCATTCCAGTTCCTCACCATCCTTATAGAGAAGAATTTCTTCCTAATATCTAACCTAAATCTCCCCTCTCTCAGTTTAAAACCATTACCCCTTGTCCTATCAGTATCTGGAGCTTCAGAAGGAAATGCAGAGGAACTACATGTCACACACACCCCTCTGCAAAGGTACTGGCATTAATTGCCATTACATGCAACAAGAAATAATAATTAAATCCATCATGCAGCTCGACAAGGTAGCACAGGGTATTGTGACACCTCCTACTACTCATACATGTCAAGTCTTTAAGTAAGAATAATAACAATTATAAACTCACTAGATATATTAGCGTTGGGGTTTTTTTTAATTAATACAGACTGTATGCACAGAAAACAAACGGCTGATGACAAGATGTTACATTGTTAACCTCACATTTTACACTAATCTAGCAGAATCTTGTTTGTTTTCATGCCAGAAGGCTATAATTTGATAAGAGGTCTGACAAACTGCAAGTGTAGTTAGATTAACTGGATACCATTCCCCAAGCAAACCCCAGATGAAATTTCCCAGTATTACAATAATTTGTACTCCCATTTCCTCATGAAAATGAAAGCCTATAACTTGGAGGCAATGCTCCTCTCCCTCCATATTTTGCAGCACACATCCAAGCAAGGATGAGACCTCATTCTCAATCTACAGGAAAACACCACAAACCCAAGTATTAGGTTGTCAGTTCCCATAAACAACTATATTTTGAAGCTGCAAAAATTTAGTCACACACTATAGACTTTGATGAAAAAGAATCAGCAATGCCATACGTTTAAGGCTTCATTCTGGGTAGAAAACTGGGTGGTGGATGCTCAGCTTAATGAACACAGGAATAAAAGCTTCAGTTGTAATAAAAAAACCATTTCCTATAATACACTTTATTTCCTCTATTCTGTCTTTATGAAGGCTTCATCAGCATCTGGCATACATTATCTTTTTCTGAACATAAGACACTTACACTTTCATCAACCAGCTCTATGGAGAAGAGCTTCCCTTCACCACGGGAGTTGCTCCACGTGCGGATCTGGCCCTTCTGGGTAACACGAGCACAAATGGTCCACCTGAAATTGTGCAAGAAATCACTGCTCTGTGTCTTTATTTTTTTAAGGAAGAGACTGAATTGACAAACCTTTGGAACTGGAATCTCACTATTTAAAAGGCAGTATCTTCCCACTGCACCTCGGCAACTCTTACCTGCTTTTCTGCTGCTTTTTATTTTAATGGTTGAGACCATTAAAAGCAGAAAGTTGTAGAGAAAGCAGCAACAAAGCCAGCCCTAAAGCATCTAGTATGATAATAGCAGTGAACAATCCTTCTGCAGAGAAAGAGACCTCAAGTCTTTCACTCTTTTAGGGTACATCTCTCATACAGCAGTTTGCCTGCTCTGAAAAAGACATGCGAGAGCTCAAGAGCTCAATTATAGGATTTGCATTTAACTTGGGTAATCAAATCAGTTTGCATAACTTAAAAGTGTCATTCACAAAATAATTACATCCTCATGCTTTTCAAGAGAACAGTAGCCAAAGTGAATAGCTTCACTGAGCTGTTTTGTCATTAAGTTACCAAAAAGAAGGTTGCTTTAGGAAAAAAAAAAAAAGGTAGTCAATTGATTTTCAACTAAAATATTAAAAAGCCATCCAGCTCAGCAGGGGAGCTTCACCAGGACAATGCAAAGGCAAATCACAGATTGTCAGAGTGCTGATGAAATTAAAAACAAACAAAAGAACCCCACAAACACCAAAAAAACCCAAAATGAGAAACAAAAACCAACCTAAACCCCATAAAGCTGCTCCTATGGAGGCTTTTTAGTTTGTTTCTCTGGGTGGTTTTGTTTCTTTGAAGTTAATAATAAAGCCAAAAGAACTCAAAGAACGATTTGACAGAGATTCATACAGGAGAAAGCAAAAAGCTGCTGTTCCTTCATGCCTGTGAGACTGAGGGATACCTGGCACACCAGGATAACTCACTTGGACTGGTATGGGTTCAAGCTGGCAATGGGCACCACTTTGGCCTGTGATCCCCCCGGGGTCTTCATCGAGCTGGGAGCACTTGCTTTCCCAAACTGGTTCGAGGGAGCGTGGTACTTAGGAGCAGCAGGACCTTTCAAAAACCACCACAAAGCACCAAGAATGTCAGCCATGCACACAAAAGCCAGGTTAAAACCTACTCATGGTGCAGAACTTCTCCCTGCAGGAAAGTTGTACTTGACACTGGGGAGGCATCCAAAGCTCCATTCCCTGTGCTATGTGGGCATCGCAGAGTGGCTACAAGTTTCTTGAATCACTTCTGTTCTTGGTCACAATTGTTCTCTAGGCTGCAAGCTGCTGCAGAAGAGACACTCTCAGACCTTTAGAGCACTTACACTGAAGTGGAGATGTGTCCAGAGTCAATTACTTAAACACAGTCCAAATGGGAAACAACTCATTAGTAGCTTATGCTCTAAAAACCAACACATCAGGCTTTAGATCGACACCATCTGGGAGAGCCACTAAGGGGTGGTACCCCCCTATCAAATAATTTCCTGACATAAAGCAACACTGCAAATTCTACACTGAATCCTGCTAATGCATAAATGCAGGATTCTTTTGATCAGCCTTAAGTACAGGAAGGCAGACCTTGTCTTCTGTTGTGCTAAACAAGTGTCCAAGTTTTACCACTTCAAATACTTGTTAAACGCTGGGGTGAAGAGCAGAGGTTAAAGCAGCACCAAGAGCCAGGACTTTGCCAACCTTTTTGCTTTAAGAAGCCTACAGGCCAGTATTTAAGTTGCCTGCCTTCTTCAGCATCTCACTATTTAACAAGTATTGATGAAAAAATAGTGTAGATGTACTATCAAATCATGTCAGTCCTGCTCCACCTGAACTGCCTGGCCTCAGTATCTCAGCACGAGTAACATACCTGCTGCCCAGTTCCAACCTGCAGCCCACCTGGTGTCCACAGAGAACTGTTTCAAGACTGCAAAACTGCATCAGGCTAGATGTTCAATTTACACTGCTTTATACAAGTTGTTTCCTACTTTTTTTTTCCCTTGGGGAAGCCTTATTTGGGTTTTTTTTCCTATTTTTGTTATTAAATCCAAGCATACAGCAGCCTCTTGAGGGAGTTAACCTTTCTAAACCATGGGTTAGTCTTTAATGAAGTGTTTCTCATGCACCACCATTATAGGATTTTTTTTTTTAAAAAAAATAAAATCTAAGCTGTAGTTTTACACTGCATAAATGGAAACCAGAATTCCTGCCTGGATTTACTCTTACCTGCTCCTGAAAAACTGCCATTCTGTTGCTGGGGTTTGTTAGGTGCTGGGTTTGCTGCTGCAGCTGAAGAACGTTGCTGCCCTTGCCCTGGTTAACAAATGGAAAGAGAGCAGAGAGTACAGTAGGGAGCACAGTAATTAAAACTACCCTTGAGCCTTTGTAGGAAATAAGGCTTGCATGAAGAAAACAATTTAAAACAAAGAACACACACCAAAATTCAGCTGTTACAAGACAAAGCAGCAGCAAGCTATCTGTTGAACAGAATTACTATGGAGGAGTTTCAGTCAGATCTCTTTCCTCAAGCAACTGCTTTCTACTTCCAAAGAACTCAGGGTTGACAGTTATTTAAAAGGACAGCAGGGAAGTCATCTTGACAACTTCTCAGTTTTTACAGGCTTCTACTGCTCTGACAGGTCGTTTCTGCTGCTACCTAAGAGCAAAGATAAAAACTGCAGGATAATTCCCTCTTAAAACTTGGAAAGGACCAAAAACCCACTCAGTAAAGCCAAACCTGAGTCAACACAAGGCAAAGAAAATACCTGCTCTATTTTATTTCCAAAACATGAAGATACTTATTGTGGGGGTGATGGAGTCATCATTTCAGCATTCCCAGAGTCCCTCTTAGGACACAGCAGCATTCTGCACAGGGAGCAAGGGGATGCCATAGGAAGTTCAACTGTGCATGTTTTCAGATTCCAGGACTTTTACTTGCCTTCTATTGATGACAAATGACAAGAGAAAGAGCAGAGTGACCTATCTAGAGAAACAGCACATTAGCAGACTAATCTACCACTGAAAAAACTTCAGTTCCTTTGCAGAATAATTGTCCTATCATTTTTTGCCTCCAGATGAGAAATTATCCAACATTCTTTGTCTTTTTTGGATGCAACTACTTAAGCCACAGGCTGACAGGAATATCCTGGACCTGAGCAAACCCCCCCTGATTTAGGGTGTGAGGGTGTGACTGTCAGAAAACGTGGAACAGAAGGTCAGGCCCAAGCCCATAAGCATCATGAGGAGCAAAAGCAGAGAATCCCAGGGCAAGAAAGGATGGCAGAGAAGGAAGGAAAAGGAGCTGGAGTAACAGGAGGAGACCCCCTGACGTAGCACAGCCTGATGTGGTGCTGCCTACAGAGGTAACCCCCTCGGGTTATTTTTAATCCAAAACAAGGCCCTTGCACAGAACCCAGTCTGCTCCTCTTGCCGCAGTAGTCACCTCGGTGAGCTGGTGACAGCGGTTTCCCTGGCAACGGAGCAACGTCAGAGCGGGATGTGCATTTACTGCACAATCCGCTAGATGGAGAAACCCGATGTCCCCAAGGATCAGCAGCCTCAGCTGCTCAGAAGGCCCAGCCAGGGTCAGTGCCCAACACCCCACGTGCATTTTGTGTAGGAGGAGGTAAAAAACCCACCCAACATGAAGAGAAAAATACATCTGGCCAGGGAAATATTCAAGAAGAGCAGAAACGTGCTCATGAAGCAGCAAGACTTCCTTGCTAGTCTTGTTCCAAATGTGGTTTGGTTTGGTATTTTTCCCCCCAGGACTTCTTAATTAAAGAACCCCTCACCTTAAAACCCAAACCAAAGACCACCAAGTGCATCAGAACATTTGTGCATTATGAAACACGGATTCACATGTTAATGGCTGCCTACTCAGAGCCTGGTGTTTCTCAACAGACTAGGAATATGTTAACACATCTGTGGATGTGTTCAAAACACAAGTAGCAGAAATATCTCCGCAGTTTTCTTCCCTGTAGAGTCCAGGGACTCCTAAAATACAATTTTTGGTGGTGGGTGGGAGAGGAGGAGGGAAGAAAATGCACTTTGAAAGGATGCACATTAAATCACCACAGTGGGAAGGGCAAGAATAAAGAGTTTCAACACACAAACGTTCCAACATTGGAAGATGAACAACAGAAGTAAAGCAGAAGTAGCAAGTAATTGTCATAGGAAAAAGGAAGTCCAGCATCAGAGTAATTTGAATGAGATTAATGACTGTAATAACATTACCATCTAGTTTTCAACGGGAACTAAACTGCTCAATCTTAATTTTCAATACTATTATGAAATCCTGCCTGAAAAGTTTTTATTATGTGTATTAAGAAGATTGTGTCTCCAGCTCCCTTGTTAGGCAGATTAACCACCTACTGCTCAATTGTGCAGTGGCCCAAAGCCAGCTTCTCACTCCCTGGGTCCTACTGGGGCATTACAGCCTGGGAAAGAATATTCCTTAATCCCAGGTCTAGCAATTCAAACTCTGTATTTTAAGCAAGACTAAAAGTAGGACTAAATATTATTTTTAAAATACCTGCACTTGGTTTTTTTGACCGAGGAAAACCACGAAGTGTTCTTAGACTCTCATTCTGCACTAGCTAGATGTCCCTCAAAAAGACAGTCTCTCAATATATGCAGGAACTTCCAAGAATCTGCAACTGGAAACACCTGCCACGTTATCACGGCCCTCTGGACAAACCAGGCAGCCCTGCAGAGCACAACAGCTGGGTTAAGCACCTTTAATCTAAACTTCTACCATTTTCTGTAACAGAAACCTTATTTAGTCTCAAATAAAAGTCTGCAGAAGAACATCAGTGCTCGAATTAAATTCACACATCACATCAGACTCAGCACCTCTCAACGACCTCGTGCAAGACCACATTTACTATGACCACAGACCTGCAGCAGCTCCAAAAACACTCCATTTGAAAACTTCATGGCTGAGTACTTTTGCAAGGCCAAACAAAGAACACAACTTGGATCAAAGTCATGGTAACTTTACCAAAATTTATCCCCTTAAAGGTGTATTTTCAGCTTGGTTCTGGAAAAGATCACATTCCCAGTCGTTTCTAAGCAACAGTGACAACTGCAAAACACTGGAGTTCACAAGCAAGGGAAATGGGAGAAAGACACAAACCAGCCTGCTCAGTAGCTGTGCTGAAATTCTGTCTCTACAGCAACTGTGGGATTAAACCATAAAATCTGAGATGTCAACACATTTTTTAAACAGCAATTAGCTAAGTAACTACCAGAGGAACAAAGGATTTTTTAGGCTCATTTAACAAACGCCCCTATAATTCTCTAGGAAAAGAAAATTTAATGAAGAAAGATGTATTTGCCTCTGCAACAAAGTCTAATTCCTTCTTTGATTAGCGAGGCAGATTTTTCAGAAAAATGGCAGTGTAGCTACCACCCCTGCTTGTCCAAAATACCTGACAGAAAAGTGTTGCCAATACTGTGTGGTCCCTTAGGAGCAAAAAAATGTATTAGTTCACTTCTACCAAAAATCAATTCTTCAGAAAGAGCTCTTTGCTGTTAAATTTCAGCCATTATCTGTGTATAATCTGTATAAAGAAGAGGGAGGATAATAAGCACTTTTTATAAAGATCAGAACTGGGAGAACAGACCAGACTTTTGAACATATCTCAGGAAAGGGGGAGAAATGTATTTTTAAAAACCCACCACGTTTGCCTGAGAATTGTGCACTCAGCACCTGCAAATGAGGAGCAGTTACTTATGTGACATAATAAAAATAAAAGATTCATGGCAGGTCAGCTAAGGTCCACCCAGAGCATCATGTTCTTTAAGAGGGAGGGCAGGAATGGGTGCTTAGGGAAGTCTGTCTCCTGGCTGGGTCTTCCTCCCAGCCTCTCATCTCTCTACTCTGAGCAATCCAAGTTTTAGTGCTTCCTGAGCCCAACATCCATGCAGAGGATGTATTGTGATGTTTAACAGCCTTTAATGGATTTTTTTTTTCTTCTTTCACAACTAAATTGCTTTTTGAACCTGTGCCAGTTTTTGGCACCTGCCTCAACAAGTTCCTTAATTTAAGTAGGTGCTGTTTGGGGGTGTGGTGCAGCCTTCTCTTTCAAAACCACTGTCTGACAAAATGAGAACTAAAGAGCAGCAAATGAATGTAGAAAAGAGAGAGAGACCATCATTCTTTATTCCTCCTCTCAATGCCATCCTATAAGTTCCACAGATCATTATTACATCTTCCTCCTGCTGTTTTCTTTCCAGACAGAAGAAATACTGATCTATTTGGTTAGTCATTATGAAGAGACATAGAATACCTTCCACATACTTACTGGAAATCTAAGTAGAGACCACTAATATATAATAAAAACCTGTCAGTGTTATCAGAGGGTAAAGATACTTCTCAATACCACATGGAGACTGGAGCTCCAGCCATGGTATAGAACTTATGAATATATGAACAAAAGCTGGTTTGTATTATGCAAATAGAAAAGATTTGCAAGATCTGGACATTGCTGCTCCAGGCATAAGAAAGCTGAATGTGGCTGAGTGCTTCTTGTTAAGTGAAATAAACAGGCATCAGAAAGGCTCTCCCAACAGCCTGTTCTGAAAGGTGTTTGTTTCTGGAGGATACTCACCTTCATTGTAGGGCACTGGGTTGCCAATATTCCCACCAACCATATCAGCAGTTTTGAGGACATTTACATCCATCAGTATAACCACTCTCCTACAAACAGAGCAGACAGCAAGAAAGACTTTCACTCCCTCTGCCCAGTCTGTCAGACTCTGAATATCCTTTGCAGGGCAGGTAAGAGAACCAGCCACAAGGGGCTGGCTCTTTGGACAAGGGATCTGGAAGACAGAAGCTTTCTATTGTCAGCTTAACCCTCTCATGGGTTGCAAGGAGGTTTGAAACAGTGTCACATTTCCTCAAGGACAGCCATGGCAGCCTGAATGGGCACACAAAATGCCCTGACACAACATGGGGTTTTAAAAGTATCAAAACTATGCCAAGTTTTACAAGAAAGAATATAGTCCCTGGCTCAAAAGTTGTATTCCCTCCACTAAAATGCTGAATAAAGAGAATATGAATCTTAGTTCATATCCTCCTAGACACTCCTCTGAGGTTTTTATATCATTTCTTCACTCAGATCCCTTCTTTTTTTGCAGTATCCTATCTCCCCTCAGTTTCTGTTTCATAAAAGACCAGATTCCACAACAGCTAAGTAACAGGAAACCTTAACTGTTTCTTTTCCAGAGCAGGCAATTTAAGAGTTAATTTTAATGGGTCTTTATACAAGTTGGAGTATTCCAGCTGGAAATCTGAAATTACTAAGTCACCATATTAGACACACCTGAACCCACTGCAATCAGTCTCCAGCTTTTTTTTATTCCTGCTATTGCTTGTGCTGTGTCACTTCCCTCCTGCACCCTAAAGACTGAGTATTTTCAGAGAATTCCAACCAAAACCAGTTGGTCTCTGCTTACTCACAAAGGACAGAGCATTCACCAGTGCAGCTGCCTTCCTGCAGAACCACAATTTAAGAACCTTATTTACCTTCCATCCTTCAGGCTGTTGACAATGAACTTGTTAACCTGGCAAACACACTGGGCTGCCAAACGTTCCTCTTCCACCAGAGAGTTCAGCTGTGTTGCCAACATGAAAGCTGCAGAAACAGAAGCAAACCAGAGACAATGACACCACATGCCAGCCTTCACAGGGCTGCCATGGCTGGCAACAACTTTTCCAGCCATTTTACAACTTCCTCAGGTAGTTAATGTATGGAATCCTAAGATGCCAGGTTGGAAGGGACCTCAAGGATCACCTAGTCCAGCCTTTCTAGGTACTACTATAGCTTAGAATGCAGTGTAACTGGTGAGGAGTCACCAAAACTGAGCAGAAACTCCATTACATTTATTCTCCAAACGTCAGTGATAGCAAGAATAATAATTTGTCAAGGCAGTCAGAGAAAGATTAAACTAAAAGACTTTAAAAGTCACTTTTACAAAAACGGGTACAGACTTCTACATTTTCACTATACCCTGTAGCAGGTGAATTGCTTAAAGTTCACAAAGAAAAGTTGCAGCAGAGAAGGATTTTGTCCAAAGTTACAGACTTCAGAGTCTGGTCCTCACACGAGGCACGTTGCCCTCATTTCATCACTTTGCACCTTGACACTCTGCTGCAAACCCCAGCAGCACGAGGACCCCCCAGACCCGCAGAGCCTCCCTGCCCCTCCCACACTTACAGGAGAGGGTGTTAACCCCGTCGCTCATCAGCACCCGGTACCGAGGGGGCCCGTTCCCCGTAGCAATAGCCCGTGTGTTCTAGGGGGAAACAACAGGTTATTGGTTCTCACTTGTTCAGAAACCTTCCCAAAACACGCAGCCCGCTACCTATTCAGCTCTATTTTCGAGCGCTGATGTAAGCAGCATAGCTCAAGTCACCTAAAACAAAAGTAAAAAAGCACGGGGCTGCCCGGGCGGCCCCGCAGAGGCAGTTTGGCCGCGCTCAGGAGCCCGCGCGGTCGGGAACGGGCGGGAACGGGGGGTACTCACGATGACTTGCAGCACGGGCTTGGAGACGGTCTCCCCCTGCATTATGGCCTGGAGGAGAGAAAGAGAAACCCTCAGAAAGGTGCCACCACCACCACCATCTCACCCAGAAACGTGCCGAGACGCGCAGCTGAGGGGGAATTACCAGCCAGAGACACGGGAACGGCCGGGA